TGGTTTTTTGAGACAGGGTCTCACTGTGTAGTTGAGACTGACCTGGAACTATGTAGCCCAGGCTGGTCTCGAACTCACAGCAATCCTCCTGCCTCAGCCTCCGAGTGCTGGGATCACAGGCATGCACCACCACGCCCGGCTCCTTAGCTTCCTCTCTACGTAATGGTTAAACCTGCTCACCGTTGAAATTCAAAATCAATCCTTTTGAAACCTTTCAGTACCATGATAAAAAAGACAGAAGACTTAAGACCCGAGATAATCACTGTGAACAGAAACAACAGGGAGCAAGCCTAAAGTTGGGAGACAAGTTAGGAGGCCAGTATGTTAAATATATGGTACTATCTGAGCACACCTCTAAACTAGAGATAAAAACAGTAGAACCACTGGCTGATTTTGAAAGAATAATAGGAACAATGAAATTCTCTGTCTAGTCTCCTCCCCACTGAATATGGGATAGCATTTTCTCTAATAAAATAAGGTGACAGTGATACTTGGCCAGTTCTAGACCTAAGACTTAAGAAAGGATAGAAACTCCTGCTTTTGCTTTCTGGGAGGAAGACAAACATCATGTAAAATGTTTAAAGTCTCACAGACTCCAATGTTGTGGGAAGCCCAAGTTAGCCATGTAGAGGACCAAGGCCCCCACCAAGAGCCCAGCTGAGCTCCCACTATCAACTCACTAGCCAAGTGAGTAAGGCTGTTTTGGAAATAGATCCTCCAGCCCCAAGGAACCATCCAGTGGACACAAGTAAAAACAGAGACCATCTGTCCTTACTGGGCCCTGCCGAAACTGCAGGATCATGAACAAAAAATTAAGAGTTGTTGCTTTCATTCACTAAATTTTAGGAAAGTCTGTCAAGCGGCAACAGAAAACTGAAGCAATGGCCTGATTTCTTGCACACTCTTACATTTTATTAACCATCAGCACACCACCCAACATTTTCTCACCTGAACAGGATCCCCACTGAAGACTCCATCAATGATGAAATAAGTCCAGAACACAGGCCACTCACATTCAATGTTTTCAAAGAGCTTGAGTTCAGCAGGGTCATAATGTAATCGGTTTGGGTCCTGGAATCAAATATGTGAAACATTTTTTAAGGTGGTGTCAGATTATACGCACATTAGCACTGTGCCCCACTGGGTTTCCCTTTCTTGTCTGACCTCAACAGGGAGATGCTATTTTGGGCAGTTGTTATGGTAAGATTTTAGAAAGTGAATCGGTTTAAAAATGTACACAAGACTCCTTGGTAGTTTATTACACTAAAGTGTCTTCTCTAACAAGTTAACACCAAATTGCCTATCACAATGCTTGGCAGATGATCTGTCATTTAATTTAATTCATTTTATTTTGAGACAGGGTCTCACTCTATAGTTCAGGCTGGTCTTGAACTCACTATGTAGCTGAGGCTGGCCTCCAACTCACAGCAATCCTCCTGCCTCAGCCTCCCAAGAGCTGGGATTACAGGCATTTACCACCATGCCTGGCTTGATGTTTTATTTATATCATCTTATTAGTCATTGTGACAAAGAAACCTAAGGAAGAGCCCATGGATGGTCTTTACAAAAACCGTATGAACCATAGAACTGTCTGTCCTTATCTACAAGCTGGCTTTAAACTACCAGCTTTCTGTCCTCCTGATATTCTTACTATTCTACTGCCTAACTCTAGGCTTGCTGACTCCAAAATTAATATTTCTCTTTTCAATATTCCAACATATAATTATAATCAATAGAAGCAAAACAATGCAGTAGCAACAGATATGAAGAAATTAAGGATTCATAAAAAACAACATTTAAATACAACCTCTCTTGGGGTTTTATAACCATCCCGGAGGAAGCGACAGCATCCATAACGTCCCTAGTAAGGTAGAAATAAAGTACATTTGATGAGATCAGAAGAATTTCTTTGATTTGTAATTTTAGTTCAAGTCAGTCCTTCCCTCTCTCTCCTATGACTCTTTTAATAATACAACATGTACTAAATGATTTTTGCTGTTAGTATAAAGAATTACTTTTAAAGTAGTAAGCAAAGTAAATTCAGGCTTGATTAGTACTTGGAAGGGAATGCTGAAACATCTCATTGGCATATTGGGGCTGCAAGAGTAATTGCTAAGAGTTCAGTGAATGGCTAATTTTTTTCATTCTGATACAGGATATCACACAGAGAGGCAAAGGGACCCTCACATTTGGAGAATCCACTAAAGTGTTTACTGGGATGTGTCACAGTTGTTGCACTTCCCTGCAAAGCAAACAGTTAAAAAACAATTTAACTTTGGGATTACCAAGTCCCTTGAAATCGCATGTAAAGTTTAAAGATATTGGGACCTGTGCATTTTTTTTTCCTGGCAGTGACTCAAAAATACTCAAAAGAATCTGTGATCTTTAAATGGTTAAGTAGTCCTACCCTGGAAATAGGATACTAGTAAGAATTGGCGTTCCAGCTTAAGTGTAAGTGCTGCTACTTACAAAGAGAACTAAGTCACTTAATCACTCTGAGACTTCATTTTTTCACTTGTAGGCTCAGCTTTTCAGCTAGCTACTTCATGAGACAACTAAGATAATCCAAGCCATTAACTTCACAAGTGATATGCTCCATGTCATCATGTGAATCTGGCATTTAACGCAGGGTAGAAGGATACTAGTGTGACCAATGCTTACCTGGAGCTTGGAAATAATTTCACTTTTGGTCACATTCACAAGGTTTACATCTTCCACTGCAAAGGCCGGGAAAGAAATGATAGAAAGAAGTCCGGCGTCTATCTCTTTAGATGTTGATGCTCTTGGTAGCATAGAAAACAGAATAGACTAAAATAAAAAATAAAGAGGTGGTTTGGCTTGGAAAAGAATTAATAGTCAGTTGCAGTATTTAAAGACCATGACCTTAGCCTTAAGGGAACATTCAAATGAGTTTGCCAATTTGCATTAGAGCTTTGCTCTACCAACATGCCCCTGCTGGCTAATTTTGTCTACCTGGTCAATGCTCCCTATTCCTTGGTGCAGAAGAAGGGGGCTGGGGTATGGTATAGCCTGAACCCTGGGCTGTTAACCACTTGACTCCATTCCTTCATGTGCTCTGTTGATGAGGCCAGACCTTTAGGACATGTTGGGGTAGAACTTCAGGGCTACCTGTGGCTACAGGCTAAGGTGTCCACAAGAGACCATAAAAGAATATACATAAGGTGCCATCACAGAGAGGTGGCTGGCAATGGGATCAGTAGGGTTGGGTGACCCAGAAACCACTTAGAGAAGGAGTCAAATCTAGAAAATCTCACAAATGTTCAGGTAAAATGGTAAACAACAGAATTAGTTTAGTCCAAGAATCTTTCCAGGATTACTTAGATGCACTACAATATGGCCTCAACTATAAGGTGGCTGGATTAGGCACTGGGAACTTGAAAGGAAGTTGAAATTATAGGAAACATTTGGGAATGGAAAAGTGTTAATGCTGAGATCTAACATGTACAAACATGAGGCTAGATCCTTGCAAACATAAGCTCATTAAATCTTCCATATTGAGAAAGGAATGAGGATATTATGTCCAATTTACTCAGAAGGACTCTGAGACTCTGAGATATATAGACTCATGCCCAGGGGCTTGTAGCTAGCATGTGACCAAGGTAAGATTTTAGCCCAGACTCTGCTGGCTACAAAGCTCATGTTTTTCCACTTGACCTCACATCTAATAAAACACCAGCATATGAGCATTAAACTATACCAAAGAAATATGAGATTCTCCTTTAAGGACTACTTATGACATTAAGTGATTACATCATTGTGTGAACATCAGAGAGTGTATTTACACAGACCTTAGAGTTGGTATAGTCTATTACACACCTAGACTCTATGGGATAGCCACCATAGTATATGTGGTCACTCATTGACCAAAGTACCATTATGAGGTGTATGGCTGTAGTCACTTCTCCCTAAGCTTTCTCTACCAGGAAACAAGCTCCTACCATAAGCTCTCCATTTATAAATTTTTAGGTATCTGATTCTCTTTAGCCTTAGTGGGCCCTAATAGTTTATTGATTGACTAGCAATTGGTGACTCACTATCTGCGTAATGGAATCCCCTAATCTGCATCAATCACTCCCTTCTGTGATCTGTATTTCAGAGAGTTTCTATTAATTTGCCATTTCCCCCATTTTATCTCCCCCCCCATTCTTTCCCTTACACCCCCCACCAAGCGAGCTAGTGTATGCTAGTCATTCAACTTGGGGGCATTAAGAAATGACCCGAAAGAAAACCACTTATGTGTTCGAAAAGCATAAAACAGATTTTGCCTCCAGCAAAACAAGGTTCATCTGATTGTTGTTTCCAAATACTTAGGATTATTGTGTCTTGTGTCTGCATAGTACTTTCTCGCTACTCAGGGCTTGGACAAACGGTCTAATTTGATTTTCTCTAATCCTTACAATTATCCTATGAGGCAGGAGTGGAAGGTCTCAGTATACCCATTTTATGGAAGAAGAAACTTAAGCTCAAAGTAGTCAAGGGTCAGCAAAACAGAAAGGTGGGGACTCTGAACAGGAGTGCAGGCTCTCGCCTCCACAATTCTTTTTCCTTCTCTCTGGAATGCAAGAGCCTAAGCTGTTACCTGGCAGTGCTCAACCTCATCAGGCAGGACATGGATCACTGACTTTCGTCCTCCATAAACTCCAAAAAGGTCCAGTTCATCAATTGCCTCAAGTGCTGCCTACAAATAGAGGTGTAAATTACTTTTTCTTTCTAATAAACATACACTCCAATATCTGGCACTCTTTTTTCACTAAGCAATCTAGTATATATGTTTTCCCAAAGGCAATGAAGCAAATGTGTAAAATCCAGCCAAAGGGCCCGATAGTCATGTTCTATCCTCATTTTCAGAGGATTGGATTTCCTGTTTATTGTTGTTCACTCCAGTGATAAGAAAGAGAAAATAGGAAAATATTTCCCAAAATAAAATTAGTATTCTGCCAAAAAATGAAATATTAACGAGTTCATAACATCATGTGTCTACGGCACTAAATTTATGATCAGTTTTTCTTCCACCTATTTTATGTGCTTTAAAAATTGTGGCTCTGGAGCCTTCACTTTGTCCCAAAAAATCTATTTTAGTTTTGAGCAGGAGGAAGGGAAGGAGGTACAGGACAATGTGAATGGCAAGATACAAACTGATGGTCCATAGAATAAATCTACTCCACATGTACCCTCTGTTTGGCTTTAAGAGTATTTTCTTCCTCTCTTTTTCCTCTTCCTCCACTTTTTTTCTTCTGTTTTTGTTGTGACAATTTCACTATGTTACCTAGTTTTCTCTGAATACCTGGGCTTAAGTGATCCTGCTACCTCAATCTCCTGAGGAGTTGGGACTACAGGCCCATGCCACTGAACCCAGCTTGAAGAATATTTCCTAAATGAGTCTGAGCTGGAACACCATTATGGAAAGTTCCCAGTATCCCTCAGTAACCCCTTCTCCCTCTGATCTTTCTACCTGGTCAGTCTCACTAGTTATAGTGACTAGCCTGGACTTGTAGGCTTGAACTTGTGAGCCTGACCTACAAAGTATTCATATGCTTCAGCCCTCTGTATGACCCAGAAAGGAAGGCTGGACATCGCGCCTGCAGCTTCTTAAACAACCGCAAGAGTTTTGATTTGTGATCACAATAGATGACAGGGACAGTGGTCATTTATTTTTGGCCACATGCAGATTTCAGCATAGGAAGCTGACTTCCTTGACCTATAATTTCATTTGGCTGGGGTATATGTGCCTTTGAATTTCACATCCTTACCACTGGCTTTTGAAAAATGTGTTAATCAGATTAAACCCAAATCTGAAGAGACCTTAAGCAAAGCAGTAAAAACACAGAGAAGGAACTGGACCACTGTCACCTTGGCCATTCCCACAGAGCTTGCATTCAATTCTGGAATGCCTTGATTAGTCTTATCACCACGTTCCCACATTCCATAGTCCTGAGGGGGGAAAAAAGTTGTCATCAGAAAGGGATAAAGAGGTATACAAGAAATGCCATGAAAACATGATTCCTTTCTGTTGCCGTGAGCATACTGAAACATGAGTACAACTTCTTGAATACTTCATGATTTTATATACTCACATTCCAGTCTTAAACTTCAGTTCACATGACCTCTGTGCAGAATTTCAAAAGAAAGTACTCAAGTAGAACAAAAGTATATACAAGAATACTCTCGAATTTCTTATTTCTAAAAGCTATTAATTTATAAGGAACTCTTGATTAGTAGAGAACACAATATTTTATTTAGCTTGAAATCAAATAAAGCGCTACCCATTTATTTAGCTAATGCCTTGGAATTTATAATAAATTGTAAGATGGAATAGAAAAGCTTTAATACATGAATTATAAATAGTTGAAGCCAACAAACCCATTTAAATCTTATAGTTAGCTTTACCTCTTGAGCCTGAAAAATGCTCAGGAAGTAAGTGGAGCCAAAGTCAAAAGTGAGACGCAGAACACTGAACACACATAAGTATGCAAAAATTAATTAATGTGCATTGGCTCAGAATACTGTCACACAAGAGGACTTGATACTTGTGTATCTAACTACAGTGACTGAAATTGTGTACCTAATTTCAGTGATTCATATCTTCATTTAAAAATCTAAGTAATGGATACTGTTGTGAAATGCTTTGTGTACCAGTGAAAGGTTGCAACTGAATAGAACAGGATCAATGCCAAAATGTCAGTTTTTACTTTTCAATTGCCAAATAAGAGTGCTTGCAAAATGTGAGCATTGAAACTCAAACATGCTAGAGCCATGTTCGACCTTGACCTGTGAGCAGGCCTTGTAGCTGGGCCTAGGCATGTTCCTTTCAGTATTCCTCACATCTGGATCTTCCTTTGCTCCAGTCCATCTTTACTCCAACCCTGCAGCTGTATGACTGATCCTCAAAGACTGCTTTGATCAGCCTCCTGTACTTCACCTTCTACCAGGGTGCCAATGCTACCTGCCAACTCTTCAGCCCAATTCAGGCTGGCCTATACACCTACTGTGGGACATTTTAGGTTCTTATTTAAGATACACATAATGGATTTAGACATAGCATGTGGTACATTTCAAAAACAATCCCTCACAATATGCACTGTGTCGCAGTAACAGTCTTTTGGCTCTAGTCTTGCTAACCTTCTGGTTATCCCCAAATAGCCTAGCTCTCAAGTAACTATATGATTTAGATCTAAAATGTCACCCCAAAGTCTCATATGTTCAGAGGCTAGGCCTTCAGAAAGTGATTGTATCATGAGGGCTAACTTCATCGGTGGAGTGTTGCAATCATGATCTGATAGCATTTTAGGGAGTTGACAGAAATTTAGGAGGTGGAGCCTTCATGAAGGGAGTGGGTCATGGGGTTATGTCTTGTCCCTGGCTTCTTCTTCTCTGGCTCTTTCCTTCTTTCTCTGTTTCTTGGCTGCCATGAGATAGGCAGACTTCCTCTACTATGTCCTTCCACCATGTTTCTGCTCATCATAGGCCTAAAAGCAAGGGAGCTGGCCAACCATGGACTGAAACCCCTGAAACTGTGAGCCAAAATAAATCTTTCTTCTTCTAAATTGTTTTTCTCTGATTTTGTCACACCTGAAAAACTAACAAATTATATGATTTTTTTTATGTCTGTCACACTGAAAAAAAGCAACCAGCATTGATACTTACAGCAACTTTATATGCAGCTTCTATGTAAAAGACAAGATTCTGTATGAAGGCCACCTCATCAAGTGTGAAGATAATACGTAAGCCTAGTAAAGAAAAAAATGAGGTTAAGAAGTTATGTTGTGAAGAGAACTGCCATACTAGGAAGTAAATCCTTTCTCCTTCATTTTTCTTTAGAATGCCAAAAATTAATTCTGAAGTAAGTGATAAAATTAATATCTACTCTCAGAAGGAGAAAGGAAAAAATGTGAGGGGGAAGGAAAGAAGGGAAGAATGGCTCCATCTTTGAGTGTGTGCCTATGGAGAAAAAGAGTTGAAGAGCAGGTATGGGGGTCTCTGGTATATGCATTTGTGCAGAGACGGTTGCAACAATGCAAAGACTGTAGCCCAAAAGAACCAGTGACACTGTCCTTATCCCTGCATGAGCCAGGGAAAAGTGTGGTTATTTTTTCCCAGTGCAGATAGCAAACGTGAAGCCCCAACTCTCCCCTGCTCCACTGAAAACCCAGCTTCCAGGACCTGCCCAAAGGGCTACATCTACTCACTGAAACAGGAAGCTGGTTTTTGCTTGGCCCCTGAAAATGCAGTTGGTTATGACAAACACATACTTTTTTTTTTGGTACCGGGGATTGAACTCAGGACCTTGCATTGGCGAGGCAGGCGGCAGCACCACTGAGCTAAATCCCCAGCCATACATACATTTTTAAAGTAGACATGGATACAATGAGATACCTACTCCTATAACAATAAAGAAGTTTAGCTAGAAAGCTTGTTTAGAAGTTTAATTAGAATCAACTTGCGTGACTGAAAATGATTTAACAATATATATGTGCAGCCTTTGAATGACATCAAAAGGAAGTAGAGATGCAGTCCAAATTGGTATTGCAACATTAGTTATAATAGCAAAAAAACATACAAAGGAATAATTAAAGTGATTATGGTATATCCATTAATAAAGTTACTAAAATAATGTTTATGGAAAGCTTATAAGATTTGGGGGAAATGCTTTATAAAGGTATACTGTCTTGACTGAGATACAAACTATATTTTATGAAACAAAAAGACTGCATACAATGTGGCATTAATATGTAAAAAGGCACAGAAAAAACCTGCAAGAGACACATACAAATGAAAATTTGAGGTAAAAAATTTTCCAAAATATCTGTATTGAGCTGCTAGTAATTTTCATAGTCAAAAAGCACTTCTTATAAATGCATGCTTTATTCACAAAGCCATACTGATGCTACTGCTGATTTCCAGGATGGTTCTAGTTTCATACTTGCTGTCTGAAATGAACAGGAGCCTGAGGGTGTCAGTTTGCTAGACTTCTGACGAGTGCCCCGAGACAGGCTACATGCCTGAACCTGGGGAGCATCTGTGCCCTCATAGGCGAGAGCCCACTTGATACACAAAGATGGCTACAATCTGGGGCTTGGGAGGTCTAGCATCCTGGCTGCCATAGAAACCAGCAGCTCTGGCCTAACCAGGAATGACATTGACCACCTACGAGGTGTGAGCTGCCTCACACAACAGGGGCACGGTAGGCTGGTCAGCTCACTTTGAGCACATGGTGTTTAAATATAACTTTGATAAGTGAGGATGTGTCCAGAGAGGGTGAGCAGAGTAGTGAGTGGGACAGCTGACAGGACATGATGCTAATCTTGGAGGAGAAAAGTCAAAGAACATTTATGAGTCTTTTTGCAGATATTCTGAACTGCCTGAGGTCACTCCAGGAACTAAGTCAGAGCATAGGAAGGAAGCTAACGGCTGGTTCAACAGCCCTCTCCTCAAAGTGCCTGGATGGAGGCCGAGGGTCTTGTCCACAGGTAACAGATCAAATCAATGCATTTACTGTGCTATTGTAGACACAAATCCATGTGGCATCACAGAGAAACATGCCCCTCCTTTGCATAAACTGCTTATTTACAATACAGATTACTATGATTTGAATGTGTCCCCTCCAATAACGAGTGTTGCCAATATGCTGATATTAAGAGGTAGGGCCTAGATGAAGTGACTGGGCCATGATGGCTCCTCTTGGCTTCCCAGATGATGGGAAGCCATGATGGCTTCCCAGTCTTGGGTATTTTGTTATAGTAGCACAAATGGACTAAGACATCGTCCCCCTCCCCAGTCCCTTTCTGGATAATGGGCTCAATGGCCCTGGCTCACCTGACGCAGTCATCTGGGCCAGGAAGAGCAGGAATAGGGAGGTGGCATCCACCTGGAGGTGGCCCCACTGGTCATCACCCACCACGGTGCTGCATGTGGCAGTGTTGTACTTGGCGTGCAGGCTGTCCTTGGTACTCTGAGTATGCTTGAACTTTTCCACTTTGTCCACCTGAGGGAGAGGGCAAAAAGGCTCTACATAGCTTCACAGGATCGAGGGCCAGTCACCTGACTCTAGAATGCTTATCTGCTACCTCTGGGAGCCTGAGGGACAGGAGGAAGCTGCTAGTGAGCAGTACATACAGGGGCTGTTTAAATGTCAACTTTTTGTTTCTTAACATGGAAAGGAAAAGAGCAACCATGTCTTTGAACATGCTAACTGAGGATGGAGGCTGCATCACATTCACCTTTGAATTAGTGCAGATTCTAATATAATATTCTAATACAGCATGTGCTCATTGAATTGGTTTTTTTACCCCTCATTGAAAATACCAGCAAATAGCAATGTCAAGTCTTAAAAACTTCAAGCACTTCATCTCTAAGGAAAACATACCCTTTTATAAACTTGAAAAAAAAAACAATAGTATATGGCTTTCTACAAGTGACCTTTGAAGACTACTTTCTTAATTTTTTTAAAAGACATGTTCTTTGTTTTACACTAACAATTTTTTTGAGACAAGGTCTCACTATGTATTGTGTAGCTCAGGCTGGCCTTGAACTCACTATGTACCCCAGGCTGGTCTCAAACTCATGGTGATCCTCCTGCCTCAGCCTCCCAAGTACTGGGATTACAGGTGTGTGCCACCATGTCTGGCTCACACACGTGCTAACTGTTCAAAAGAGATTCTCAGAAACAACACACTTTGTGACCATGGTTCTATAGTATAATAAAATTATCAAAGAAAATTCAGAAAGAGAAAATAAGCAAAATATTTTCAGTTTTTCTTTCTCTTAAGAAAAGTTCAAAACACATTAAGCATGTTAATTGTTACAATTAAAATGACATGAAATACTCACTCTGAAGCTCTGCAAGCTTGTGTTTGTCACCTACCTGTCGCATCATGCACTGGAGGAGGCCTCGCATTAGCTTTACCACGTTCTGTGGAAATAAAGTGGTATCAATAACAAGACTTGGGTTCCTTGCTCCCAAAAAATATCTCCTTACCTCCAAATAGACAATAAACCAGTGCTGCTTGGTACCTTTTCTGAAAAGGCCAATTCCAAGCATATATGAATATTCTCCTTGGTCGCATTACTGCTACTTCTCTGTTCTATTATGAAGAAAAATCTTGACAAAGCAATTTATCTCAAATAAAAAGCTTGCTCGGATGGCATCTTCAGGCTCTGAAACTCAGTGACACCCTACAGGTATTTCAGCAACACAATTTTTATAAGCCTAGTACTTTGGAGCTTTATGTCACATTTTTAGTAATTTATTTTTGTTATAAGAATGAATTCAGCTCACCACGCCTGCTCAAAAGTAATGATGTTTTGCCAAAAGGGCCATTTGTGACACATTACTGCACTATTGAGTAAAGTCCTTACAAAATGCAAGTGGCAGCCAAGGTTTCTTAATAATATGATGCATTGCAACCAATTATTATTATCATCATTATTAATACAAAATAATCATTAGTCAATTAGAAACTATATCCAGGTGTTTTGCAAAAACACTTTACTTGGATTATCTGAAATTCTTGCACCAACTTGATGAGATAGGAAGCATTATTTCCCCACTCTAGAGATGAGGAACCCGAGGCTGAACAAAGTGAAGCAACCCTGCTCAAGTCTCCCAGCTGACATGGGGTGGGGCAAGGACAATGCCCAGGCAGTCAGATTCAGATGCCAGAGTTCGTGCTTTTATTCTTGTACTGGTGATTGAATCCTGGGCATTGCACATGCAAAGCAAATACCTACCACTGAGCTATGTCCCCAGCAAGTTTGAGGTTTTAACTAGCACACTGTGCTGCCTTCCATTTCCTCCACAGCTAAGGCTCATTTAAACACTGATCTGAACATGCCTTGTTCAAAATTCTATAAAATAAGTGTCTGGTGAGTGGGATATTTTCGTGGTCAAAACAGCCTGGTGGAAAGAAGTTTCCACCCCGGGGCATGGAAACAATCTTCTGTAAGAGAGAGGGGAAGACATTATAAAAGGCCCTGAAAGTTTGTCACCAGTGAAAACTCTGGAGTGAATTGCCCATCAGATCCTTCTACTTCTAAAATTGTATGATTCTAGAATATAGCATCACTTTATGTCATAAGCTCTGTTGGGGCAGAAAATGCTACCTCATAATGAGGAGGTAAAATTAGAATAATTATAATTAATATTTCCTACAATGTATACAGCATAAACATTTGTCAATTAACTTGCCTTCAAATAAAGTTATTTTCCACTAGGAAGAAGTACAGTGGTTCCCAACTGGAGGTGACACTGCCATCCACCAGAAGTGGGAAAGCATCTGGAAATGTGGGTGTGGAGGCACTTTAACAGTCACAGTGAGAGTGGTGAAGGCTGCTGGCATTTAGAGAGAAGAAACCAGAGACCCTAAATATCCCACAATGCATGGCATAGTCTCACACAATGATAGACTGTACTGCCTGACTCCAAAATGCAGTAGGATCCCTATTGAGTTTCACTGGAAGATCCCTGTGTTGTCTGTCTTTTATTTTTCATTATTTCTTTCAGAGTAGGAAATTTATTGAAAGAAAGAAAGCTTCTGTCTAAGAGAGACACAAGGGGGACTGGAAAGTGGGTTGCCCACTCACGCCACTTCTCCAAGATGTTTTATACAGCCAAGCCATGTGGTGAGGCGGGTACAAAGGTAGGACAAAACTGTAAGACCCAATGGAAAATTACAAGGTGGGCATGAGGTGGGGCCAAACCATGACCAACCAGTAAGAGTAAAAGTACAGTCACCCAGGTGACATTGATTAAATGGGAGTCAAATGGGGGAGCAAATCACATAGCAAGCATACAAGGATTTTCAATATGGGTGGGGGTCAGGGATAGTCCCTGTGTTGCTTTTCATAACCAAGGAAGAAGTCTTTAGTTTAATTAACCACACTCATCAAATAGTAAAAGGCATTAAATGTGATACAATGTGGCCTGTTTGTGTCTCATTATTGTTTGTCAAGGAGCAGTAAATCTAGTCAATTTTAATGCAGCTCAGTAGTGTGTGTGTGTGTGTGTGTGTGTGTGTGTGTGTGTGTGTGTATCTGTGTGGGTGAATAGTGCTTTACTTGATTTTGTCTTAAAAGAATGATGAGAGATTTTAAAGACATTAACAGCAAACTATTATACTAGTAAGCAAATGAATCTCTTACATAAAAACTCATCCATGTTCTTAGAGGAGCATTCAATACTGTAGAAATTTTTTTTTGTATTGGGGATCAAACTCCGGACCCTGAACTTACAAGGCAGGAGGCAGAACATGTTGTAGCATTTTTGAAAATTGCCTCACCTCCAAGACTAGGTGATTTCACCACCTCACTCTCAGCATGTCTGGTCAAATCCAAATCTCCTTTCTACAGATAAGCTTCGTTTTTTAGCTGTCAAAGCTTCCTTCATGCTGCCTGTCATTCATGCCCACTTTGACTGTTATAAACAAATACAAATGTGCTGGAAGAATCTTCTCAGACCTGATGATCCACTGGCTATGAGGGCTATTCAGAAATGTACGAATTAAGGATAAATCCTAGGGCTAGGTAGGGGTATAGCTCAGGAGTAGAGTGAGTGCTTAGCATTCAAGGGGCCCATGGTTCAATCCACAGCACAAATAAACAAGTAAATCCCAAAAGCTCTCTCTCATGCCAAGAGAATTACACTTTTATATTTTAATGCTCCCTATATCATTGTTAGTGCTCAAGACATTTGGGAAATATCTATTGTGTCTCAGGGAAGGATATTTTCTTACAAACTCAACGATGGCAAATCTTTGCTTTGGTGGGTATTTTGGTTTCTGATTTCGGGAAACAACAAAAAGACTTGCTCATGCTATATGGTGAATAACACAGACACAAACATTAGGCAACATTTGGTTCAAAACTAAGGAGTACATACTTTGGAATGTGTAGCTCTGATGTACTGACATTTCATAAATGATCATAATAGTTTACAATGATGTCTTGATAAGAATCTGTCTAAAATCGATAGAGCCTGTTTAAGATAGAGCCTGCACTAGCTAGTTAGGCAAACTGACACTTTGAGGTTTCAAATTTGGATGCTTTCATCTCTCATCTGGTATGATTTTTGATGTTGTCATTTATCGAAGGGGGAAAAAAATCAAACAGAAAGATAGATGTGAGGTTAAGCCTATCCACGTGCTTTCTCCAAATAGTCCATCGCAGAATTGCAGGAGAAGCCTGTACCCCAAGTGTTCTGCCCTTACAGCTACTTCCTTGTGGATTTTCCAGTTCAAGGAACAGGTGCTGAGCAGCCAAGGCACAGCCATCAGTCACTATTACCTGTTCCAACTCATAGGCCTTGGCCTTGTCCTCATCACGGTCGGCATTCTTCCGGTAGGCCATGCCCAGGCCCCACACAGCCAGGATGCTGTAGATGTTGTCCCGCACCCAGGCATCTTTCTGTTCATGGCTGGCTGACAGTAGCCCCGTGACAGGGTTCTAGTAGAGAAAAGACACAAAATGGCTTATCACCTTTCACGCAGCTCCTCGGCAGTGAATGTTCACCTAAGGGGACAGACAAGGACCAGAAACGAGGAGTGGAGAGACCAGAGTTCTCATCCTTGGTCTCCCACTATCAGGGTGATCTTGACAGAGTAGTCACGTCACTTCTCTGTGCCTCTTTCCGTACCTGTACAATTATGAGACGGGACTAGAAATTGCCTAAGGAGTCTTCCAAGGGTTATGATGTTCTTGCTCTTTCAGATCAGACCACATTGTTTTAAATAACAAAAGAGAAGAAACAACAAACATGAAAAGCCTACAAAGCTTCACTAATCTGTGCATAATGGGCTTTAGGTCTTCTCTGGCCTTCACGTTTGAATATCAGTTGATAAATAACTGAATCTAGGAGTAGCGGACTAGGACCCAGGTCCGTGCTCCACTTTCTAGACCCGTGTGTCCAGAGAAGCCACTTTCTCTATCTGGACCTCTGCTGTTTCATCTGCAATGCAGATATTTCATGTGCCTAAGCAGAAAGTGCTGAGCAGAAGAAGGACAGCTGTGATGCCAGTGGTATTTAAAAAAGCAGCCGAATCACTAAAAAGCCAAACCTTCACATAAAAAACTGTACACAAAATGTTCATAGCAGCATTATTTATAAACACACTACAAAGCAGAAATATGCCACATATCCATCAACTGATGAGTAGATAAACAAAATACAGCTTGTATAATACTTTTCAGTAGAAAGGAAATATTAACACACATTATAACATAGATGAACCTTGAAAGCATTATGCTAAGTGAAAGAAGCCAGTCACAAAGGCCACATATTGAGTGATTCCATTTATATGAAAATGTCCAGAATATACAAATCTATACACTCAGTGGTTTCCTAGGGCTGGGAGTGGAGGTGGAGTGGGGAAGCGAGAGCCTGCTAATCGGTTTTTTTCTTTGCTTTTTGGAGGTGATGATATGCTCTAAAACTGATTGCAGTAATGGATGCACAACTCTGAACACACTAAAAATCATTCAATTGTACACTTTAAATAGGAGACATACATAAGTATTAATTGCTCCATGAGCAATTAATTTTTAAAAGCCAGTCCTAATAGTAGCCTAGAAATAAGATAGATAAGAAATGAGTGACATAAAGATTAAAACCTCTGTTGACTTTTCCTGAAAATATTCAAAGAAATACGTAACTAACAAAATGCAGTGAAACAATCAAAATCTTGCCAGCTCAAAAGGACACATTGCTTAATAGAGATAGGGGTGTAGCTTTGTGGTAGAGCATTTCTCTAGCACGCACAAGGCCCTGGCTTTGATCCCTGACACCATAAAGCAGAAACCAAAACAAAACAAGCACCCCCCCCAAAAAAAACCTCAAAAACCCACAAGACAAAATTATAATAACAACAAAACAACCTTTACCCAAAAGGGTACCATAAAATTGACAAGAAGGCTCATAAAAAACTCCATTGGGTACTTTCAAAGTGATACTGCCAAGGTTGTTAGGTAAAAAAAAAACAAACTGTCATTTCACGTGGTCCCACCTAAGGAATTAAATATTTAACTTTCTCTTTTAACTAACCTATGCTGTCAACAAAACATCTAAAACTCGCCCAATATTACCCTCAGGGGCAGCTGCATTCAGTGTGTTCACATAATTCTACAACTAGAAACTATGAATGAAAGGCAACCAGAATTGAAGTCTAGGAATGACTGAGTGAAAGTATAATTCTTATTCCAATAGTAGATTACCAATTTTTTTTAAAAATCACTATTCACCAGCAACAGATAACATATGTATCTTTATCTGTTCTGAGGCCTGCTGGGTAAACCTGGGTCAGGAAATCATCAGGAGATCCACGGTAAGTACTCAACCCCTTCTTGGTGTTCTCATGAACTGTGAGTCTACAAAGATAACCTTCTGGTGACACAGCAATGGCCATTTGTACATAGTGCCAAGTGTGGTTTGGATTATGAAATGCCACTGTCCTGTTAAATGAAAGTCAGCTCTTTTATTCTTTAGTTTGGCCTTAACTGTTTGAATGGATTCATTTATTCTACTCAAGACTAGACTACAGAGAAGCAGTTTGGGTGTTTCAAGAGAATCCCACATTCACAACTATGCATACACCAGCCTTGTAGAATTGGGGTGCTATTGCACTCAGCAAAAATGAATGTTTTATGACTTGCTTCTCTCTTTAAATCTGTAATGCATTAAAACATAATGCATTATGTTGGAAGATGTGGCTAGTTCCGTTTTGATGTGATTTATAAAAAGTGTAATGACCATAGACTGACATATATTCTGTCACTTCCAGCCTGCTGCCCCTTCTAATAAAGATGACCCAGTGGTTTTGTCTTTGAGTTCCTCCCCCAGTTGGAGATGGATCGTGCTGCATCACTAAACTCTCCCTAGTTCTTGAGAACCATCTCAGCATATCCATCCCTTTAGAGCTTTGGGGTCTCTGGTTTATACTTTGCAAGCTAAACACAAATACACACAGGCAAACACAGATCCTAGGAAGAAGGTGGGTAATTTGTCTAGGATAAGCTTATGATTTCAGATATGATCAATTTAACCATATGCTGTTTTCTAATCCTTTAAAAACATTAGTTATACCTAATATAATTATACTGCATATAATAATATTGCAGAACTGGTTTCATCATATACATGTCTTTTTCAGCTGTCTTTTTTTTTTCTTTTTTACTCGTTCCCTTCTTCCCTCATTTTAGTAATTTCCATAAACACAGCCTTTGTAACAACCTTTGGCCATGTTTTCCTCTCTGTGCTGCTAAAATTAGACATCATATATTGAATCAGATATGTGTGTATGTTTATATATAAATTCCTATTAATGCACAAGTTTTATTGGGGGCTGCCATTTTTTCTTGTTTGTTTTGGTACCAGGAATTGAACTCAGGGCCGCATGCTTGCCAGGCAGGCACTGTCACTAAGCTACATCCCCAGCCCCTGTTTTTAATGATTAGTACTGTAAGATCACTGATCACCTGTCATTTCTCTTCTCATTCAACAGAACCTTACAAGATCCCCCGAGCCAAGTGGTATACCTCAAACTCAGGCACTTTAGAGGCAGCATAATATTCCATGATGCACATCATAATGCATCCAGTCATTTGCCCCTATGATGGGTATTCATTTCTTTTCCAGGGATTTTTCTTTTCCACTACAAAAATGCTGCGATAAATATCCTTATTGAATATACTTTTTCAATAGTGCCTTTACTTTTTTTGGTATAGAATCCCCAAATGGGATTGCTGGGTTGATACGTTACATGCATATGTACTTTTAATAAATACCCCTTATCCCTATCAGTGAGTTATCAAAATTTGAAATTTTTGGTTAGTTTGATGGACATAAGGTGATATCACCACCTTTATTTTTAAAGATTTTATTTCCCTATCACTGAATTTAAGTGTCTATTCAAAATTTGGTGTGGGGTGGGGGCTAGGGCACTAGATTTGCCCTTCTGGAAGCTAATTTTTAGTTTCTTTGAAACTGGGTACTAGTTCAGTTCACCATTTCTAGCTATGCCTCTGAGCACAAACTGTTCAAAGCTCTATCACCAGCCAGCAGTGACCTTGGGGAAATGACTTCAGCATCTCAGTCTGTGAAATGGGGATTGTACCAATGCCTGGTGCTTTGTGAGAATTAAATGAGCTAACAAGTATCAAGCATTTTGGACGGTATCTGACATACATAAGCAATCAATAACTGCTAACTATATTTAGTGTTATTGACTTATGTGAAGAGCTTTCATTCATATTATTTTTTTCATATACTTATAATAATTTCAGGAAATGATATGAAGATACATGGTTAGGGGAAGAATGTGAAAGTGAGCTCAATGTACCCATTTTTTCTTCCCTCATTGAGTTCATTGGTACATTCTAGGTATACAGTACAGTTACATTCATTATTGGGATCATGTACCTTTACATGACAGGTCTTGGTTCTCATTTTTTCCCCTTGTCCCTGCCCTCCCTTCACCCCCTCCTCCCCTCCCCCTTTAATGTACCCTTTTTATTAGGAAAAGACTAAGTCTGGGTGCCTTCTTTTTTATTGTCTATTTATATTTTCATCTAATTGACATAACTGTACATGTTTATGGGTACAGTGTGATAATTCAATACATGTATACAACATGTCAAATCAGAGTAATTAGCACTTGCATTTCCTACAACATTATAATTTTTTTAAATTAGTACAAGTTCACAGTACACCATGATTATAATCCTTGTGGGGAGTTAGTACATGTACATAATACATCTTAATTCTTTTTTCATTTCCATCTCCTCCCACCCCTTGTCCGCCCTCCCTTCACCCCCTCCTCCCCTCCCCCTTTAATGTACCCTTTTTATTAGGAAAAGACTAAGTCTGGGTGCCTTCTTTTTTATTGTCTATTTATATTTTCATCTAATTGACATAACTGTACATGTTTATGGGTACAGTGTGATAATTCAATACATGTATACAACATGTCAAATCAGAGTAATTAGCACTTGCATTTCCTACAACATTATAATTTTTTTAAATTAGTACAAGTTCACAGTACACCATGATTATAATCCTTGTGGGGAGTTAGTACATGTACATAATACATCTTAATTCTTTTTTCATTTCCATCTCCTCCCCTACCTCTGTTATCTTTATAGTAAATATTATCAGTTGAGATATTTTATCCAGTTGATATTTTTGAAGCAAACAAATAATCAAACACTTGGAAAGTCTGCGCCCTTTCTCTAACCCAGGTCTTGCCCTTCTCGATCCAGTCTGAATGTTGTTCACTCAGAAATTTTCTTTTTCGGGTTGACTTTACTAAATTCTCTGTGCACTTTGCCTTAAAGAATAATGGCTAAATTAACAGCAGCAAGTTCTGTAATAATATCCATTTTCCCACTCAACAGTCACTCCCTGAGGTGACCAGATACGAGGTCATGAAGGAAGATGAGACAAGTACAAGGAT